TTTGTATAATTGATTACGATTTATTGACACAGACAATTGCGAATTAGCTAGCTGTTAGTAGTAGCTCGTTGATTTTCGCTGCAAGTACAATGTCTGTTGCCGGCGTGTAACCGATTGCTGTGAAACCAAAGATACCAAGTTCTAAGTGAATTTCGACGTTATTAAATCAAATAGAGCATCAATTTTGGTTTTCGCGACGTCAGGTACAGCCGATAATGGGCACAAAGGAGCGGCGAATTGGAAACTAGTGCTAACTTCCGGAAGTCAGTAATGTCCCATAATTAGTAACTCGAGAAGTGTCGGGCGGTGCTGCGTTAGACTTAGTTCCGCGACGACCAATACACATACACCTGGCTTGAACCATTTATTGTTAATTCCGCCAATAGTAACTGGTATTTGCTAACTGGAGAACAGTCAATACTACCGACGGGTCATTCGACGCTGCAAGGTACCATGGCGAGCTAGTAACTCCCATTACACATAATTTAAGGTTCTTCGTAGTTAACGATCACTATAATTCCTTCTACGAGGAATTTTCATTTGAACAGTCATTCTGCAATTTTATGAAACATCAAAGACGCACAGGTGTCATATTTGATGGACATTTTGTATAGGAATTTCTGTTCATTGTTACAATTGAAATAAATAGATAAAGCGGTATTCTGATGCTTATGGTTGTATGAGCCTTTGAATAAAAGCGATGACAAAGCATTCAAATTTTAACAGTTATTAAATATTACGTTAATAAAATACTGTACTGAGCTCATACAGTTTAACGCTTTTACATTTATAATTATCTTTTGAAATAATTTTATATTGCTCGGATTTTCGGAAATTAATGTATATAACCATTACTTTGTATAATGAATATCATATGAATGCTTTATATTCTTTACACATTTATAATCTTGTGATAGGAATTACGTACTATATCTCTCTTGTCTACTATACGGAATGATATTTTGTTCCATATACGAAAGAACTAGTATAATGGTTGGTAAATTTCGCAAATTTATCAATCGAAGCGCGTGATTAATTTTTCTCAATATTTCTGAAATCGAACAGTCCACTTCGACGGGATTCGATCAGTCTGTTTCATATTACCACGCCCCGCCCGTAGTATCGTCGCAGTTATTGTCGCGATTGACGTGACGCGATGAAATAAAAATAAACTATTCCACGTCGAGAAAAGTGGTGAAATTAAATTGGCCCACACGAAACAACGAAACGAGGCGACGCGGCGCGTAACGAAAAACAATTTCGACCGCGAAGAATGAATCGATTGCTCTTTGTCCGTCGCCGTTCGATTCATGAATCATCTGCCGGGTGTCGGTAGTTGACCGATTCGAAAAAGTGATTACAATCCCTCGATGATTGATTGCTTCCTTCGATTTGCTCAGCCACTTTGTTTTCTTCTCGTTTTTTTCCCGTCCTCCCGAATGATTTTTCGCGTTGATGCGATCTATGCACGCGCGTAACCTGCGTACACGCCTACGGCGACAATCGCCGCGCCGCGCCGGTTTGAAATATACAATCGGACAAATGTCGGATTTGCAAAATCATGCGGCCGTAAATAACCGCGAAATGGAACGTACGGAGTGGCCTGTTTGCCAAAATTTCCGACCAGCGCACCGGTCGATGCATTCGCGACCCGTGCGGCTTGTCTACCGTCGCCGCATCGACGGACAGGAATAACGAAAAAAATGGGCTGAAATATTTGCAAAATACTTTCGTTCGCTCCAATGAATTATGTAATGAATGAGCCGAACATTTTCCGGAAAGAAAAACGTTTTGAAACTGTAAGTTAATATGAGTGAATTAATTAATAATTCTTCGAGTTACTCGAAGTTGTCAAGCTGCAGAAGAATCCTACTTTAAAACATGACAAAATAGTGATTTCCCGGTTCTTTACGCGAACAGAAATGACGATGGTTTCGCGGTAATCGAAAAACTCGGGAGCGGCGAGTTATCCGGCGATTTACAGAAATCTGAAAGGAAAACCCGCGGCGGGTTGGGTCGTCCGTGAAAGGAGCGGGGCGAAGAAAATCGCCGCGACAAAAGAGACGCGGAGAAAAACACAGGCGAGGAACAGCCACGAAGGGGAGAAGGAGAAATGCCACGAGTGGAGGCGGAGAGCAAAGTGTCGATGTTGCCGTAACCTTTTCCGTGTCTTTGTGGGAGGAAGGGGAAAAAAGTTCACGAGCAAGGAACCGTGAAGCATTTGTCTCCTCTCTCGCGTTTGGCGAGAGAAATCGATTGAGGGTATTGTTAAAGTGGCGTGGCAAGAAAGAGTAGACAGGGAAAAAGGAAACGGACGGACGGGGTCGAACGAAAAATTTTCGCTCCTACCAAGAACGCGTTTATGAACGTTCATCTTACACGAAATTCACCCCGCGGCCGAGAGGGTCGGATTTATTAATCGCGGACGTAATTGACTTTTTGTCTCGCTTCGACGCCGAAGATAAATTTGTCTCGGAGAACCACGACCTCCTTGTTTTTCTATACCAACAACACGGGCGATTTCTTCGAACGGCACTGCATGCAAATATTGTCGTTTCTATAATTAAAAAACTCCTCCTTTAATAAACACCGTGCAATCTTCACAAATTTTTAAATAACACTGTCTTCCATTCTTTGAACGCTATCTTCCTGCAATCAGATTTTCTATTCGCATTTAAATTTCCCCGGAAAGTTTCATATTAATATTTCTTTCGGTTTAAAACAAGAAATTCACAAAGGACGCTCGGTTTTCGTTGGTCCAAGCCTCCTTTTAATCTCGTTCCCACTTCCCCGCCGGCACGTCGCGCGCCGGAGATAAATTCACAGACGGGTATTGCACCTGGATTACGAATAAACAATAAAGCGTAATCGTTTTCGCGCCGTCAAAGGAAGGAATGGCTTGGCGGTTTATTGCGAGGGCTCGATCAGGAGTACCATTAAGCAGAGTAAGTACACACTCCAGTGAAAATAAATAGAAGCTCTGTATCTCACAAAGTACCGAATACGTTTCGCATTAATCGGAACGCATGAAATTTATAAACATACACCGACGAGCCCAGTTAATTCTTATTTAAGTCAGTAAAAAGAAACCTTTGAATTTAATGCACCAGCGAATATGTTAATTGATTTGTTTACAACTGCGAAATTAATATCTGGTTATAATAAATATTATAAAGGCAAGAGAATTGTAGATTACATCTGTGAAAATCACTCGGTTTAATTAAAAGCTGTACTTAGCGTACGCGAATAAAATCAATCGTATTGAACTTTTTTAATTTCGTTTCACGATATTCCGTACTTAAAATCCCTCGCTTTATTCATATCGCAACAAAAAATAATATTGAAACGACGATAACGTAATTTTCGTCGTAGATACGTGATGAAACTAGGAACGTGAACGTTCTCGAGGTAGTAACCTATCTCGCACAATAAGCTGATAAAGTGCCGCCATAATAGCAGCTTCCAACGATCACTATCATAGCGTGGCATAGTTACAAAGAGGAAATCATCCCGTTTATTTCGATCAGGCTTTAAAGGCGCCTTATCGTTCCGATTACTGTCGACACGCGTTATTAGCCTGCGACACGGCTACCCATCACCGGCATTGCCTATACCTATAGAGGTACCAAACGTAGACAATCGAACGAGTTATCTCATTTACATATCGGTTTCATTACAGATGGAAATTACTCGCGCGTATCCAATATTTCGTGGGACATTACAACACGTCACGGAGTTTCGAAAGATTATTACGTTATTACTGAACGTGGAATTTCCGTGGGTTGATTTGGTGCAGGCCATTACCGCTCTCTCTCTCTCTTCCTCTCTCTCTCTCTCTCTCTCTCTCTCTCTCTCTCTCTCTCTCTATCTCTCTTCCCGGTCTGTTATTGCGCTCCGGTACAGTTTACTTTACCGGCGACGCAGGGGGATTGTAAGACGGCAGTGGTAGTGTACCGTTGCAGGTCAGCCGTAAATGGTTCTCGGAGAGACGAACTTCCACCGCCGCTGGAGTATTGTAATAGCCGCATACGATGCGAGTTACGTAACTCGATCGCCGTAATTATTTTCAATCTCACTTAATTAATTCGCGCCTGTATGTGTGGTTCGTTTATTGTTTTAACCCGCGTTCATAGCGAGTTCCGGGTTTCGCGAAGAGAGTGATTTAAACTTGGAACGATTAGTCAAATAAGTTGCATGAGCATACTCTTTTCTTATTTATTACGATGTATATAGCAAATATTGCAATTTGAAATTAGAACAATTTTCATGCAATTAATTATTTATACAAGACTAATTTTTATAATTTTTTTTTTTATGATTTATTTACTATAGGTGTCTATTATATTACATATATTTCATGCGTACTGTATAACATATTTATTACATGCGTATAATAGACAAGATCTACACTTACCTTACGTAACGTTTTTACTATCCCTATTGCTATCCTTTTGAATCTCTTTGTCGCACCTTGACCTAGTTACTAACCTATCCCATTCCGACCAGACGGCTCTCGTGACGTGTTTGCAAGAAAGTAGCCCTTTGATTCTACGAACTGAAGTTGAATGGGAATTCCGTGGAGTATTAAATCGATGTAACTTCGAAAGTCCATATCTCCGATTGGTATATTGGCACGAGCCAGGAACTATATTTCCTTTCATCTATCAAATGAGGATGTTTCAAAAAATTCAACATTTCTTACGCTATTTTACTTGAATTCAATGAATTGATGTGTAATGCCAGAATTGAATAAAATTGAAAATAATAGTCAGAACTGTTTATGTTTTAATGTCACTTTGAAATTGGATCATGATCATTTTTTAATTTTATTCAGCAAATAACTGAACAAGGATTTATAATGGCAGTCATGTATTCGATTTATTAAGATATTCCAGCGCGAGAATTTCACCATCTACATCTGACGCTCGTTCCGCGAGCCATTATCGACGTCCGTTCGAACCCATAAAAATCGTACGACACAGTGAAATCATCGGGCACGATACATTAATAACGTAATTTATTATAATCCAATACGACATATCTAGACGATCGCTCGTCTCGACGTTTCTACTCTTCGACGTTCTCGCACGATCATCGTATCGATACGTATGTATATATATATATATATATATATATATAACGGTCGCTTCGACAATAATCGCTATTCACAACACATTCGCAATTCTTATACTCCTGCGTCAACAAAATCGCAGCCTCGAATCATCAACTCGCGAAAATAGACGACGATTCGTTTATGTTATATTCATCACAGCGTAACGTACCTACAATATGTATTTACAGAACAATTAATCGGCAAACACGCGTTATTAACGTCTCTTCATCGAGTCCCTTTCGAACGGAACAACCGGACATATACTCATTGAATCGCCTGTCTCTTTTTCTAATAAATAGGAATATTCAACAAAATGTATAAACTACCATAAATACTTTGAGGAAAAACAGTTTACCTTATTATTTTTCAATACTTAATAATAGGATTCATAAAATTGCATAAAGAATTTCACTGAGAATTTTGTATAGGAAAAACATGTATGCCACTTTTAAGTTAAAAGACAAGCGATTCAATATTTCCCAGATATGCCACATCTAACTGCTACCACCAATTCTCCATTAGGCTTGAACGAAACTCGAAATAGACTTTCAGAGAGGTTGTTCACGGACAAGGAGTCACCGTCAAAAGCCTCTACTTCTCTGACCTTTGCACACAACTGAGTCCATACAGCAGAATGAATATTATGAAAAAAGAATTTACAATAGATTCCATTAAGAGAAGGAAAAAGCATTCTGGAAATATTCTCTACAGATATAGATCGTTAAATCTACTTTAAGTCTCGTTAAAGCTAAAAATATTGTCGTCGACGTGTAGCCTCACGGGAGAACTCGGTTATCCCGCGTTTGATGCGTAAAATCGAACTGAAACGACGAAGCTTTTGCGCGAAGTCACCGTCGCATCGTCGTCCGATGATTCGGGGCCACGCAACAGTCTACATCGTCGTCGCGCTCCTTCCGTACACGCGGGAACTCGCAAACGTTAACATTCTTAACTACGCCCCGATACACATTTACAAACGCCTCTGTGCTTCCCAAACTGTTCACATTAGCATGTACACATCTGTCCACAAGTTTAAAACGATTGAAAAGACCGAAAGAATTTGATGTACAATCAGCCTATAACTAAAAGCTGCCAGAGCTTTTCTTTTCATTCTTATTAAAATATTCATTGATTATTATACGAAGTAAAATTATATTAAACGTTTAAAAATCGTAATTCATTTTATAACAGAATCTTAATAATGGCATTTCTAATTTGTTAAATAATTGTTGCTCGTATATTACAAGGCCCATAGACAAGAGTGTACATGTGTTTCGAATGGAACCTCGAAGCGCGTGTCCCAACACAACTACGTATTCGTTATTTATATTATACTGTATATGTTCTTGCGTATAATGTTATAATTACGTTTTAGTTTATTCCTTCATGCGTACGTATATGTTATTTTATATGTAACGAAATACAGGTTGCGGCTTGCTCGCCCGACTAGAGTTAATCACCGTCGCGAACGAACACCGATTGCCTGCTCGCGTCCGACGGGAAGTGAGATCGGTACACGAACGAGAAGTACGCGAAACCGTTTTTAAAATAATGTCTATATGTTTTTGATGAACTATCGTTCCGCGTACTTCGTCATCCCATCGATTTTCGACTAACGAGACGATACAATAATTAATCTCTTCTCTGTCTTTGGTAACAAAAATCCATGTGCGTCTTCACGAAAAATAAGTTATCCCTAGATTTACGTGTAAAGAGAATCTCTTAAATGAAACGAGATGAACGAGTCTCATAATGAATACCTACGATAATTGTTGGCGAGATTTATGAAATTATTTTGGTATTTACATAGGTAATCGGTTTAAACGAAGAAATTCCGAACATCTAATCTTCGCTCGTCTCTGTGCAAGGAAACTAATTAGTATCGGAGCTAATTCAGAGGCCAGTGGTTCCCAGCCGGTCCGGCGTACACGTTTGATTATAAAACTCGTTTTGTTTTTGGCTGAACACTTAAAAGCAGCAACGCGTTTATATGAGACAACGGCAAGACCCGCGTTAACATCGGCTGAAAACCATCGGCGTGTCTCCCTGCACGGAGCGAAACTCGCATGGTCGAACACGAATCCCTTCTCATACTCGATTCACACGCCTACGAGGGAGAATGAAAAGGTGGCCACAAAATCATCGCCGTTCATAAAAGCCTAAGAATTCTCTTACTGTATATATATATATACTTACACAACATATCATATTTGTATTTATATTTATATATATATTTATTCATTTTTTTTTTTATATTTATATATATAATATCCTCTGCTTTTCTGTATACGTCTACGTTTAGTATGAAAATAATTTCAAGCGCGTCTTTGCTCGTCGCACTCGTCCATCATCCAGCGCGAAGCCGGCGTACCAGAAAGTGGCAGCCGGCTCCGGTCTGGTTACCGTCCAATAAACACTAGAACTGGAAGCCCCGTTCCCGCGACGTGAGAATCACCTTCTGATGGCTGGAAGTAGCAGCGACAGTAGACTCACCGTAAGATGAAGAACGAGCTCCGCCCGATGTGATACGCCCGGACTTAACGCGTCCACTGGAGGCTCGCCCGGCGGCCTCATCGACGGCGGACCGTAATCCCTGTCATAATCTGAAACCAAACACTTCCCTGTCTCTATGTCGAATCAGTGATACCTAATTCCTACATCGATCTCTCCAATTCTTACATGTAATAATGTGGTTTGCAATTTTTTATTAAATTTTAAAGATTTAACGAGTTTTTTTTTAATGTATGAATTGTTCCTTTAATAAATAGCATCAATAAAGACTATATAACAAATTTTTGGATATTATTAATGAATCACGAAACTCGTAACAGTTTTATTCATAGAAAACGCGAGTATCATTGTAATATCTGATACAATAGAACGCACCGTTCGTCTAGGAACGATTTCATCAATTCGGGTAATTCAAAATAACGTTTTTATTCCGTATTAAATTGTTCTTCGTAGAATTAGCTCTAAATCCCCGGTGGAGGGAAATAGACGGGCGGGTCGGCGGCACGAACACATGGAAATGAGAATGCAACAAAGCTCTCGGCGCCAGTGAACATGTTGCCCCGAATAATAGAGGCGTTCGAATAATAATGCGCCGGCCGGGATAATCGAACGTGTGGACGGCAATCGCGCGAACAGTGCTGATAGCATCCTGAAAGGATTTCACCGGACAATGCGATGGTGATTCGAATTTCATAGGGAGTGAACGCGCGAAGCCAATTCGTACCGGCCGAATTTCAATGACCGTCGCGTCGGTCCTCCGCCTTGGAAGCTTGCGAAACCCTGAATCTAGCTTGGGATAGGTCGCAGTTCTTAAAGGATAGTAGATAGAAATAAAGTTCGAGCAACCTTAAGTGGAACCAGATTCTCAGGTTAATTTCAGTATCTTCATTATTCATAAAATACACTCAGTGCCTATAAGAATGTATAACTCTATTTAAGAAAATTGAGATGACTTTCAGATCTTAATTACTTATTTCTACTATTTAAGCCAGAAAGATTTGTTTTATAAGGTAAAAAAACGTTTCGCCAACGTTTGTGTTTAATGTTTAATAAACCGACGAATGTTGAAAGAAGAAAGGAATTATTTTCGTTCTGGTGCAGATTTTAATACAACCGTTACGTAAACAAGGAAGCACTGCGTTACACTGTAAACATAAAATCCGCGATATTCAGTATTTGTGGATTTCTCGCAAATATTCATTACTGTTTTGCAACCGAATGAACTTTTCTACCGACTGTTTCCTCAGAATCGGTGAAACGAAAATATGAAAGCCTCAATGATTTTTGTTAAAGATCTTTATAAATTCGTTTGTAGATATAAATCTTATAACGACGTTCTCAGAAAAATGACAAATCGCTTTTGCGATTCTTTAGAGTTCAATTGAATATATTCGTAGCTTGAAGCTCGAGAACGAAATGAATAGCGGATGACGTTATAAGGTAAGAGACGCGGGAGTCCCACGGTGGCGGTCGATCTTTCAGCGACGCCGAGAATGTACGTCGTATGTGTGAGCATGAGAATAGTCGGATAGAGAAGATAAATACAAGGAGTTGCCGCGGATAATGCGAACGGCGGGCGGGAGAGGAACCTCGACATTCATCCGCGTCTCGGGAATTAAATTCGACCAAATTCTCGGAATCTCTAGGATATTTGGTCGGAGCAAATCCCTTTTTAATGAGATAAAATGCTCACCCGCCGGATGAGACTAAATAAATTTATACCCCATTAGATATCGCCCAATTGTCTGTTGAACTGGTCTGATTTGACGTCCGCTCCGAGGAAATCAACCGAATGTCTTAGTTAATGAAACCAGACTATTGTCTAATCTCGAGCAAATTGAATCTAAACCATGTTTAACATGCTAGTAAGAAAACTGAATAAAACACAAACATTTAAAATATATCAATTCTCTTTTATGAATGTAACAAAAGTATCATTAACTAAATTACAAACTATATAATATAATTTATAGTGAATCGACGAAAGATAGGAAATATTCAAATTTGATATGAAGGGATGCATTCTAGGCAGGGAAGCTGTACACGGAATCGACCCTGGCGTTGCGAATGCGAGAATTTTCGTGCGATTTCGTGATAGATCGCGATACGGTAACGGGAAACAATTTATTAAATTATTCTCAGGCGTATCGTAGCGGACGCGTCCCAATAAATATGTGGTTTATCGTCGGGTTCGATTCTTTCCCTGTTCCCTCACCCGGCTTCAATTTCGCTTCCCGATTGGATTGGCCGGTTGTTCCTAAGTTTTACGGAGCTGGTCCACGTTGGATCAACGCTGCGCCGCCACCTGTGGCGCTAATACAAATCCGGTAATGTTGCCGGCTATGAATACATGAATATCAAACCCCGGGAAGAAGTCGATACATATGTACGCTTACCGTACCTGTTAACCCGCGGCAACTTCGACCCCTCGCCCTACCCTCTCACCCCCCGACCGGTCCCGGTACATACACAGGTATCACGCGAAACGGTAACCGAAGCTGCTTGATATGTAGCCGGGCTACGTATCTTCCTGGAACATCGACGCACGAAACGTTACCAGGTAGAACATACTCGTGAAATCGTTTAACCTCCGTGATTTTTCAGCCCATTAACCCACGAACGATTTATGTATAGGCAATTGTTTATCCATCATAACAATATTTAGAAGAAAAATAGTAAAGAAACTTGGGACGATAAAGAATTTAATATGTATAAAAAAGTGATAGGTAATTTAATTCAATAAATGTTTTAAAAGTTATAACAATGTTCAGACTCTACAGACTTTGCCTGGATATAACAGTCACAAGAATGTACGAGTTAAATTATAGAAATTCTGAATTGCAGAATCGACGGTGAAGTGAAATACGTTTAATTTTGTCTGGAGTAAAATCGTGAAAAATTCTGTGTAGCACGTGCAGCTATCGTGCTCGTCAATAATTCTGCAAACGATTCTCTCGGTTTCACCGAGATTTTCTTGAAAGCACGAGTTACAGAAATCTCGAAATCGACGTAGACTTATCTCGAATCAATAGCTAACGAAAATGGTTTATCGGTGTTATTAGAGGCGAGCGAGGTGAAACACACGTGAGCCAAGTTTTCTTATTTCACAACCGATCGGGATCGGGCAACAGTCGTCGTGAATTCATGTCGTTCCGCTCCGAGGCGACGACGCGACGGCCCGCTCGCCGGAAAAGGGACGCCGAAATCGCACGTCCGCACCGAAAAAAGTTATTCTCACCTACGAGCAAAATCCACGCTACGTGACTTTCCGCATGGACGGCGACAGTCGGACCGTTTTCCAACAATTTAACGCCCCCCCTTTACCGGTTCTCGACCGCACAGTTTTCCGTCGTTTTCTTTGCCGTCCAAACCGATTCCGTCACGCCGATCAGAGCTACCGCAATTTACGAGCAATTAACCTAAACGAATAGAATTTACAGTTGAATGGAACCAACTCGGTGTGAAAATCGCTGATTTTCTATGAAATCCAACTACAGTAAGCGTTACGTCATTTGTGTACGATCCTGTTTTTTCATCATTTTCTACCTGTCAAGTAGACATCAAAAACTGTATTTATAAAGATCCGTGAATTTGCATAATTAAAAGGTACTTGGCTTGTCTCTCGTTTTCTAGGTTTGAACGAACTACGAACAAACGAGCGTTCCATCACAAAAGACATTAGAATAAGCTTCATTTGAATAAGGAGAGAACCGAAACTGTGCGGGATCATAAAAGTTTGCGCGAAGTACTTAGAGGGAGAATCAATTGAATCTCGCCTCGTGTAGGTGTCGATCGATTTAACAAATGAGGCCAAAAGAAAAGGAATCGAATGAAACGGCAGCAAGAATTCTCGGCGGGTTTCGTCATTCGACCGGAGCCGACGGAAACGGCCGCGGGTCAACGAAACTCGTTTTTCATTAATTGAAAGTAAACTTCGAGAAATGAGAGCCGGCGGGGCCGGCCGACACTCCCGGGAATCTTTCAGCGAAGTCATTGAAATTGAGTTCGAAAACTTCGATGCCCGTGCCACGTTGCTGCCAATTTATCGGCATGCGAAACGAAAAGTGTTCGCGACGCAACGTTTTAAGTGTTTGCAGTCAAAATTCCAATACCGACAGAATGAGTTGATCATCTGCAGCGAAGGAAATATAGGGAAACCGCTATAAATTTTTTTATAGAAAGGAAACCAATTGTGAGGCTTCGTAAGAAAATATTCATTGCGCATGCGATGTTACATTTTCATATAAATTATATATAAATTACTCGTCCATTAATATTCAGTCAAAGAAAAATTAAAAATAATTGCGGTGGGAAAAGCTTTACTTGTGAAGCGAGCTCGCATTATAGCTTTATTAAAACTTTTTTATGAACATTTAAATACTCTCGACTATTGTGGGAATTTTATATCTTAAGAGTTCGCAAAGAGTATACAAATTCCGTTTTACGCGTAGACTAGTCTTAATTCACGCGTAATTTTACAGTAATGGGTTATTTCCTCGCGGAATATTTAGACCTTTAATCGATATTCGAAATTTAACGGTAGTTAAACCCGCTGGATTGGTCTTCTCATGCTTATTCATAAGATATTACGACGTTCAATATTCATAAGCTATGCGATACTTTAAATTGCACCAACTCGTGAATCAGACAGTAAAAAAAAAAAGAAGCGAGTAAAACCACAAAGGAGATTCGTCTTCTGGCTTAACTACCAAGCCTCATTTTAAATGAAATTTTTCCATACCCTATGTTTCAAGATAATTGCATAAGATTACTTCGTCGATCGTTAAAAGATTAATATTTAAAGTTATTAATTTCAACCACGGAACAATGATAGACACTTGGTTCAGCAAGACCGTAAATGCAATTAAGTGTACGAAATATTTTCTTTAAATGTATTATTATATTTCTACTGTATTTTAATTATACATACTGGCTTGATAACTTCCTGGTACTATTTCTGCAGACGAGTGCTGTAATTCAATTTGACGTCATGCATGAAGACTTACATTTAGAATTTATTCCACTTTGCACGGTGGCTAATATAATTTTTAGTGACATTACAAAAATAGTTGATGTCAAATAGCTAAAACTCTACTACAGATAAACGTTGAAACAATATATCCTAAATATACGTGTAACATTTCATTTCGCCCAGCGTATATGAAACATTTGTCATGTCATTAATATAAGTGGCTTTGTCATTTCAATTGAAGATTTTGCGGAGCTACGGTGCATAAGAATCCACCGTGTATTTATTCTTTTAAAGAAACATTTCAGATCACGGAGCACTCTTCTAATTGCTGAACAAAAAATGAAACAAGTGAAAATCAGTGATGTAAGAACATCGATGGTAGAATTGAGGGGCCATCAGTGAAAATCACTGTCGTCGGAAGCGTAATTTCTGAAATCCATTCTGGCCAGTTAAAGGGGACCAAGTAACGTGAAGTAATTCGTTCACGGATAAAGGGGATCACTGAGCATTGGCAATTTAGTGGATTCACCGGAGAATCTCTCCACCTCGGATGTGCGCCGTTGACGAGGTTTTAATTACGCTAATTACTCCGAACCGGACCGGGGCGCGGGGAGGACCAGGGTATAACAGGCCTGCCAGCCGGGGTGTATCGTCGTGGGAAATGCCTGAGGTACGCGGGCCGCGTTAAAATAGATATTTACTGACCTGGATCTCGCCATTCCTCGACCTCGTAGTCGATAGGTCGTTGTAATTTCTTGTTACTGTTTCTACCTAAAATGCATTACATAAAGAACGATTTTACATGGCGTGTTTCATGATCGGGAGTGAGAAGAATGCCGTGGCAGATACAAAAGTTGCGACGTCTTTGTTCTATGAAAAATAAACGGATGGATGTATTGTAAATGTGCGCATTCTATGGGGTTTAGGTCACGTGTCACATTGTGTGGAAATTAAAACAGCGAGCGTTCCGCCTAATTCCGACGTGAACATTTTTCAATGACGACCAGGCCGCGACGTGCTTTTTTTAAATGCCTGGATTACGGCATTGTGTTCGCGTGGTTTCGTTCAACGTAAAATCGTCTACGCGGAAATGGGCGGAACGCCCACCAGACTGAAGCTCGGTTACCGTGTTTCTTCATCGACGAAGTGACGTAGTATGGCAGTGGCGTCGTTGACGTCGTCGACGGTGCTGGAATTTCTACCAGGAACCAAACAGATTATATTCATTTAGATAAAAATATTCCATCTCCTCGGTGTCTTATTAATAATCATATATAAATGTCATTAACAAAAATTGAGGACAGGTAATTAAATGTCAAAAAGAAATGAACTTTAAAACAATAATTAGATAATCAAACGAGTGGAACTTCTATAGGAAATGCAAAACGCAGAATGCAAAATGCGCATCCATGAACTCGAGTAAATCCGAGGGCAAACTTTGCTCGTAGCGACCGGTCGCACGATATACGTACATCGTTGAACTTTTAATTTCAGCCAATTTATTCGTCCAAGGAGGTGGAAAGGTATACTCTTCCGGGATAAATATATCCTCCGTAAATTTAATCGCCAATTACGGACAACGTTGGGACGATAAGGATGCTTGACCTCGTCGAACGATCGATAAACATCGACAACGGCTGCCTAACGATAACAGCCTTTGCGTAAAGTCCATTCATCGGGAATCAATCAATTACTTTGTAATTAAGGGACATAGTAAAGAACGCGTCGTTAGATATGCCCAGTAAAATGTATCTGTCTCCTTTCGAATTGATTTTAGGATTTCATCTAGTTCTTTTCGTACGACAATTCAATAAATTACGTCTGACGTAGCATACATGATAATCTCTATAATTTCATGTTGCATACAAGAAGGCAGAGGTAAATCTTTTATAACTGTCACCAAACTTTTATATCTGATATGGGAGAATGCTTATAGATGTGTCTACTCGGTTGAGTTATTGCGGAATATTTTATGGTAAGATGGTCACCGAGGAAGTTTAATATCTTGTAACATGTCTTGTAATAATTTAAAAAGCATTTCTAACAGACATTTCATTAGAATGAAATAAAAAGTAAGTACATATAATGGTTTAGATTTTATGAATAAATAAAAATGGAAGCGATAATATTTGAAATGGAAAATAACAATGTTAAATATCTATAACTGTATTCATGAGAAGCACTCACCGTCCAACCTAATGTCACCATCAGTACTGCCGAGGGAATTTTGCGCGACGCATTTGTACGAGCCAAAATCCTTCGGGCCGACGTTTCTAATTTTCAGCATCATATATTTGTTGTAATCGTTGTCGGTGGACACCGCCTCGTACTTATCGCCTGTAATAGAACGGTAATTGCCTAGGCAAATAAAACCATATTCCTGGTAGTTGAAAAATGTTCCAGTTCGAACAAATTCGAAATTTATCGAGTAATAATAAGATTGTAAAATACGTTATACAGAAATATCTACAACTTAAATTACAATAAATGAGATGTTCAATTGATTTCTATTCCATTTGTTGTTTCCCGTACGAGTATTAAATTGAACTATGGATTTTATAATTTATGACAGTGTATATTCATGGTTCTGGGGTTAGGCAAGGGACGTGGTATTATAATATTGTATCAAAGTTAAAATTACCGGAGATGATCATGTCCCCATGTTCGGTAGTCCAGTAATTAATCGAGATTGGATAAGCCTCGGTTTGACACTCCAATGTCACATCTTGTCCAATGTACGCGGCTTCCAACTGATTCGGTATCGTCAGCATAGGAGGAACTATAACAAAAAATTTAATTCAAGTTATAAATGAGAATAACATATAGAAGTGTACAGAACACAGTTTTTGATTCTTATTATATTTGTTCACGTATCCTTAAATATAATGCACATGTTCGCATGTCTCGTTTATTGCGTCGCAATAATAGATGAATCACCAAATAGGCACTTGAACTACCTCGATTCGATTTTTGGAATTATGTATGTAGGTACGCTTTGAATTTCGGTGACCAAACTTTCCAAGCTTTCTACTCGCGAAATTCGAAACTATTCAAACTGCATAATCTAGTGCATCGGAACTCTGATGGCTGCAGCAAGGTAAATCCTACAAAATCCACAAGCTTATTATGAATTTCAATAAAAGCTCCTGACACATTTACGTTGGACAGATGTGAACACTGGAATAAAATAAAATGTTATACGTATTATTAGTGAAATATTTTATAAATTATTATTTTATAAAATTTATGAAATATTATACGTATTATTAGCGTATATGTTTAGAGAAATGAAATTGTTCTGAAATTCTTCTGGCAAGGACGATTCCCTGACTTGATGCACCTCGTGCAGTAAAACGAGAATTGACACACTTTTGTACTTTTAATTTTCTCAATTCTTTCTCGTGCTCAATGAGGTCCCCGTACACTCGAAGTCTCAACGGTAACAACTCGTTGTCAGCACGCAAGAATCCGTTCGTAAAAACGTTTCTTCGAAAAGTTTTTCGGTTATTATACGATGGAGCGGCCGAGTCGGATCGATATAGATACATGTATTTCGCTGGCCGCAATATCGTGTCATAGTTCCGTCTTTTACGGAGCAACGTAAATCACGATTTACTGCCAGCAGCGTACGCTTGGGACGATATCACCACGAGGGCTGCCGTCCCTCGTCCACTCCATATTCTTCCCCTGACGTGATTTTTTTTTTCTCGTTTCCCCGCTGTTGTTGTGTTATCGGAATGATATTATCCAGCCATTAGCTGATCAACCTGACGCTTTGCAAGATTTTTAAGAGTAACCAAATCTGCCACAACGACCAACTACGCCTTTTGATAATTCATTATTAAAGAGTTTGAAAATGTTGAGTTTCTGACAAATCGACTTAAACTGATTTTAAAAAAAAAAAATGTAACATTGCCCATATCATTTTTCTTCATGTTCTACTCAATATAAATTTAGCACACAATTTCGTTTCAGCTTTAAATAAAGTTACGATTCGGCCGGTGTGAAAAGTTCCCATCTGAAGGCGATAACTCAAACTTGGTCGGGGACGATTATTAACGGCCGGTAGCCATCCGCCCGGTGGAACGGAGACTAATGTGTCGGAAAAGACAGGGCGGAAACGCGTTTTGCACACCGAAACTGGATGAACGTGACGTGATGGCCGAGAGGGGCTCGAAACGAACCCCGGGTACACCGAGCATATCTGGGTCAAGTGGTCGCTCGTAAATCGCCGGCTAAATGAGACGTTGAAAACCGACCTAATGCATCGCGTTGCTCCGAACAACCACTCTTTATCGAGATATTGTGCCCGGAATTCAGCCCGTTACCACCCTTTTCGCGTCGGCCCCTCGTTCGCTCGCCGCAACCTCGCCTCGCTCTCGCTCTGATCACTTCACAGTCTTGTTATCAACCCCCGACGTTTCGAGGATCATTGTTCCCAAGTCTGTGCCGAGATAATTTGTGTTGCTAACTTGTTCGCGCTAGTGCTATTAAGCGTTTGTACCCAAAACACTTACTCTCTCTTCCATGAAAGAGAAACATCTATAAAATGACATCATTAACTTCTGCCTAATAAATTTGGAATCCTAACAATAATTTCCATAAAATGATCATCGATGATTATTTTATGAAACACCAAATTTTTACTTTAATGACAATCTAGTGTGCTGCTCGGGTTTAACACGATTATAGCGATAAGTAGTATAATAAACGCAGACCTTGTACATGCACTTTGACGAATATATTATATACATGAGGAGACGTTTAAGCATACTTACACTGCACGCGGAGAGATATGTGCTGGCTAACTCGAGGTGGTACGTCGTTCGACGCGATGCACATGTACGTCCCCATGTGCAATCGACTTATCTTGATGATATGCAGCACCTCGCCGTCCACAAAGTCCACTGGAAACACAAACAGAACGATGCTGTATTAGACTCATGATATCCCATGCAAAATTAATTTTCAAACATGTACCCGAGGAATTAAGTATGTTTAAAACACACAAGCCCAGAGATACGTCGTGTAATTATGGAAAAGACTTTCATTTCTGGCATAGGTTTAAAAGGATTATAACGATTTGTATTATAACGAAATGTATTTTACTTTACATATTCCATTAATTCTGATTTTACTTCAATTTTCTTCTAAGTGGTGTGTAGTTCGTAATTAAGTTTTCAGTGTGCAATCGTCAGATTGGCGAATTCTCGGAATCACTGAAAATTCGGAAGTAACGATATTTGTGGTGGAATCCAAGTTTTCAGTCGAGAAGTTCCGTTAAGAAGTTCCGGAATCCTGACCGAGTTCGAAGCCAGTAAATTTATAAGCCCAAAGCGCATTGCGAAAATGAAAAATTTCAACTATCCTTAAATGTACTTGAAAAAGTCGCTTCACTTTAAATTGTACATGTAATATTCCGTTACATAACAAATTAAGTAATAAAAACCACGATGTGTATTAATTTTTTTTTTACCATCTACGATTTACACGATTGTAACTATCGCACACATTTACATCTTTAATTACAGCATGTCACGACAGTTTTCGTTTTTATGTTAATTTATACATCTTACAATCGCGAAGAATGCGACTCGAAATTTGACTCTCCGACGTATCCATAGCGGCGCGTGGCTCATTAATATCTGTCATAGAAAGTAATTATTTATTCCATCGCGCATTCAGCGCCTCCATTCCTGTGCCACTATACACCGGAATATAATTAAATTACGTTAAACGATTTATCATTCCGGCCGGTCGCGCGGACCAACGAAACTTTCGCGTTCCAACGCGCTTTCGTGCAACTTTTAGCGTATTTTGTGGTCCGGGGTACCCATTCCAACGAATAACACGCGAGAACCTGCGTGCAATGTAACGATTTCCCAGGGATTCGTTCCATTCTTTCGTAAATACAACTGTATACTAATTAGTAGAATCGAACCTCGTACAAATCCCAGTCATAGTAAAAACATCAAGTGAAATATATTTTTAGAACTGGAAACAGGTTCAGAAACAATATTAAACTGCTTGGAACTACTTAAAAATGTGAGAAATCCTACTAGTATTCATGTCATAACAATAAAAGGAACTTCTAATCGTCCTTACCAGTTTCGCCATTAAGAAGCAAGAGCTTGCAAATTTTTAATGTTGCCTTAATCGTGTTATCCTCGAGTTTGAATTAGTAAAATAAAAGAAGCCGATAAAACCGTTGAGTACTAAAAACAGAGAAACGTGTAACGCGGAGGGACGTAATGGGAGGCAGACTGTTCGGTTATAAATATGCGAGCATAATGTCCCAAGAAACGTAAAAGCGGATGACTGCCGCCATGCGTTCGAACAAGACGGGCTCAACAATAAAAATGGATGCACGCCGCGTCTGCGGCGTATCGCAATTTTTATACGCGAAATTATTGTGCGCGTACCTGAAATTCTTCACGGGGAAACGAAGCGCGGGTAGAATGAGGCGCATTGTGATAGGTCTAGAACGACTTAAACTGGTCGCGAGTAAATGTTGAAGAGCGATGGAAAACCGATCCGAACGTTTCTCACGATAAACGGTAAAAGCGCATTGTATCACGGGGCAGGGCCGGGAAGAATTGTAGCTACGATCCTCGGACAGTAACACGGAGGTAATGGCACGCTGTAAGAACACGGGACTCCTACAGTCGAATAATACCCTTCGATGCATCACGATCTTTGTTACGGTTCATGCACTTCCAGATAGATCGCTTGCTTTTTCCGCTTTTCATTTGGCTCGCGGCCCCCTTTGCCGAGATAATTTGCTTTGTGCGTCGTTACTTTTAAACCGTCCACCGTTACTGGCGAACCCGATGGCCCGGCGAGATCTACGCGATGCCGCGAGGAATAAAAACGAGCCAGTCTCACGTAAAATACGTTGTTACACATTGACATATACCGTTAAGAGCCATTTACATGGACAGTGAAAAACATTTTATTCATATTATAAGATCGACCCCAAATAAAATGACAAATAATTTGCGAGCTAAACACGACGAAATAACAATTCCTACCAAAAACGATTCAGGTTACCCTTTCAGTGCAATAAAAAATATTTAAAAAAAGATCGATTCTGTTCTTGAAGCTCGCATTTCATCAAAGTATACCCTCGTATCTTAATCATCCTGTTTACACCGTAATTAGACACCTTCACTCCCGGTACTCTCTCACAATTGTTCATTCGCAGCGCATAATAAACTTTCATTACTACTACCACTGCTACCGTTATTTTCTTATCAAGCAGACAACGGTTATTAACAACGCCTCCGCAACGTAGCTCACCACGATACAACCCCAATCCCAGCCAGGGGAAGCGCGCGTCGTTGCAGGGCATTAACAGATTCGCGTTCTCGATTGTGCGGGCTTATCTCGCGTGACTCGAAACTCTTATCATCGCGGAGGAAATATCGCGGCCCGGCGAAGGTCGTTGAAAGGAAGGAAAGTTGGCCGCGGGCGTGAGCGGGAGACTGCGGCGCGCGGCGTGAATCGCTGCCGGCGCGGGCGGGCCGCGCCGCACGCCAAAACCTATTCATTGTTCTATAAACAATGCCCGGCGGCGAGAAATTCCAGCAGTGGCGCGGCGACTGCCACTTTCCGAGGAGGTTTTAATCAAGTAGTCCCGTAGGTCCTGTGCGCGAGAACTGCCTCGGTTACCTGTTTAACGGAAACCTTTAAAACTTTCAGTTTAATAGGAAACCGCAATATGCTACGGCTCGATGAAATCTCGTTTCAAACACCATCGCGAAATAAACACGAACGACAAACGATTGTTCATTCTTTTTCCAACCTGCCGGTCGTATCACTAGTCCTCGCTTCATTATACGATTCTTAACAATAAAAAATATAACTAGTACGCATATAATATAATTTAGTCATGGAACTTTCTAATCGAAGTGATAAAACTTGCTCGATTTGCCAACTCAAAAATGTTTTCGTACTAAGAATATAAAATTCAACTTCTTGCCTAGCGCCGCCTTTTTGTGAGAGACAGGATATCATGGATTTTAACATAATTACATACCCCGTGGCCTGGGGTATTTTTCCTGTGTCACTTTCATTAAAAACAGATCGTACGCAACCTTTTTTACTTAACTTATTAAACGGCTCCGTTGCCTGTCCGCCACTTTTATAACAAGTTAAGTTTTGCACCTGTTCTCTTTTACTTACAAACTCCGTCTTCCGCCAACTTGTTTCTTCTCAGACATAATCTCGCGAGCATTGATTCCTCTATTACTTCCGTCGCAAGTTTTTTGCCTCAGATTATTTATTTGTACGGAGAGAAGGCAACTTTCGAAATCAGTGAAACGTAAGATACTTGGTTATTGATTACCTGCTGATTTTCATGCAAAACACAAGTCTTTCAATAGCCGAATTAATGAATTTGATTAAATTAACATACGATTGGATATTATTCATAGCTTCATCATTAATGAACCAACAGTTAAACCAGTCCATTAAACAATACGAAATATTGTGCATAATTAATCGTCGCCTATATAAACGGAAAATTCATCCTGTAATTGTCGCTGTATGAAATTTTCATAGGCGAGTCGAACGATAATGCAATGTCTTTCGAAACTCATCAGCCCATTTGAATGTTAAGCGATGCAGATAGGAGAGCGGGGAAAAAAGGAGGGAAGAACTGTGGAATAAATTAGCGGGTATTCAACGTCGATGCTCGCAGCGCAGGGAGGTCGGCGCGCTTTGCATAACATTTTTCACGTGCTCCTTAACGTCGTAAGAATAAGCAGACAGCTTACTTCGAAGACGAAGTGGGGAACCGGCTACCTATTTGGGAATTAGTACGTGATGTATTCCGCCCCATAAGCGGCGCAGCGGCTTGAACGTCGATATTTCATCCCACCCCCGGGGCCCTCTGCCTCCCACCCTGTTACCCTTAAGTGGCCTTTTTCGCGTTATTACCGCCAGATAACCCGGCTACATTCGTCTGCCAGGCGAAATCCTCCAACCGCGATCATTGCGGCTAATGCTTCCGCGTGCGTTCGTCCTACGAACAGACGGATAACGCCTTAGCCTTGTATCGTTTCGTAATTGCTCCGAGAACCCCTCGATGCAAGATTAGCTTTCGTTAGACGCAAATACAGCTCATAATATCGTGTCTAAATTACTATAATATTAAACATTTGTTCGAACTTTCTTACTCGAATAAGTCTAGACAATCTTGGTAACACATTACGTCAGTAATTATAATTGACACGAATCTATAGTAAATAATGAATTATGGTATGACAGAATGAATTTCGTTTGTTACTTTCTATTGAAAGAATTGTGTAGTTTATGTAGTAGAGATGGATTTTTAGGCAAGGAATTAGGATATGAACAAGTAGTATAAAGGAAAAGCGGATGAAAGGGACCGAGACCAATTGGAATCTATTCCTTTACCGTTCGGTTCAGACGCAAAATTTGGTAGACAATATTGTTGCCGAAGTTGCTCGTGGAACGGCGGACTCGGTCTTGGCGGGCGTCACGGGAGCTCCACAAAGGAACCTCGGACGGCAACAAGATAAGCTAGCCGAATCGATGTGTGCGAGGATCGACGTCGGTACATCGGTTTGCCCGCCAGTTTCGTTCATCGTTTGATGCCGGGGTTGCGCGTAAAACGAGTACCATCGTAGATTCGATTTTCCGTCCCGCCTATATCGATATCAACCCTCTTCTTCTTCTTCTTCTTCCGCCTTTATTTCTCCTTCCGGGACACGAACTCGCTCTTGGTTCTCGATTTTCCGCTCGCTTCGCACCACTCTTACCATGTACATTCGTAAGTTAACGAACAGTTAACAAAAAGAATAAAATAACAGTGCTTTGAAATCAAACTAGACTTGCAATATAAATAAGTATTTGTTTTTATTAAAATACTCAAACAATTTTTACAATGCTTAAACAATAGAAATTATTTATAATTAATTCTTATCTTTACTAGTAATTTATGAAATAAATATTAGTATAATCACATAATCATTTTCTAAAAATATATCTTATAACAGTATTTTATATTATATCATATTTTTAACCAGTGTTTAGCAAAAGAGATTCTTTCCCTTTTTTCCTCAGTTATCGTTTTTGTCACGTCTTGCGTTAAACTCCCGTTAAACTGTCGAAGTAGAAAAAGGCTCGAAGGAGATCGCAGACACCGAGAAGCAAACCCTCGTTTGCTTCTACTTAACAGTGACATTGATGACCAGTGTTTTTTAGTCTCTACGCATCGTTCGCTTCTCCCATATCCGTTTCCATAACATTTCCCTAGGAACGAGGCCGAATCATTTTCCTCGCGTTAGGCAAATTGTTATTGCGAGCAACGCTTTTCTAAGCGACGTTGTTCAGCGAACGAGCACAATTATTTTTTAACGCATCATTGAAAACAAATTTTAATCAAACCTCAACCGCCTTTTAGTTCTCGAATTTGTTCCTCAAATAGATAAACACAATTACAACTCTGACATGAAACTTTATCACGAACATCCATTTATTATTTAATTGTTAAATTTTTACAGTCGATATTGTGATTATTCGATAGTCGATATTGTTGTTATTGCATAGTCAGAGATGTCTTCTAATTAATTTCTAGCAAAACTTTTGGTAAACATCCCAGGAGCAATAGTCGTTCTTCTGGTTGCAAGTACAAACAGTTCGTTATCCCCTTTTTCCAGTATCGATCGTCCAATTTGAGATTCTCCTGTTCCTCTCTGTTTCCTCGTTTTCTCTTAGTCTTCTATCAGTTGTCTGGACGCTCGGCTGATATCCAGGGAAGTAAATCTTCTCCCGGCCTACAGGTGTGTCCAATTCTTTGAAGGAACGTGCGTGTGTTTCACAAAATTCGATTTTCTTTCTCGTTTCCTCTTTAGCATCGTTCTCCACGTTGCTAGATATTTCTCGAACACGATAAATTACTTGTCTGTTCTCTCACGATTTAATACTGTAGATTTTTCTCGTTTCAGTACTAGTTATAAATCATTGATTAAATTTTGCATACTTACACAACTGTACAGCCTGCGACGTGCACTAAAGCTTATCGAATTTTCACACCGATCCTTCATTTTACTAATGAATAGCCACGTCGTCGATTTCGATCTAAAGCTACTGCGACTGTAGCTCTTTTGTTCAAACTCCGCTCGTCGTATCCGTTCGAAAGTAAACTCTTTCATTATAAACGAAGCCTGAAAGCTCGACAGGATCCACACCGAACGTGTGAAACGTCCAGTCCAGTATTCATGAAAACGCCAATCAATTTTCGGTACAGCCATCAACGGCTGATTAGGAGGCGATATCGTTAAACGAGGAGCGTGTACGAAACGAGGGCATCATCCGCTTGCTATATGAGCAGTGCGTCATCCGATAGAAGCGTTGGATTATCGATGTAATTGAACGAAATATCACGGCTGCGAACACGCTAGGCATTGGGAACCAGCCGTTGCGAAACTGATGTGTTGCCCTTTGGGACTCGAGAACTGCTCTCTAATGTCATTAACCCGGCGATCTGATGGCTTCCCACCTTCTGTTCGCCACGAAAGTATCACCTTGTTCAGCGTTCGTTCGCTGCTCTGCGATTTCTCACAAATTTCGGATTTTCCTCGTTCAGCGAGAATGAAAGTTTTTAATGCAAAATAATTTTTATATATACTGATGTACATATCACAGATTTTAATAATTGTATGCGACAGTCTAAGTTTTATATAATGGAACGTGCCGATAAAATATGTAAAAGAATCTTTACTAACTTTCTCCCCAGTGGCATTCGTTTCCAAGGTAAATTTTGCACAGTTCACCGTGAAACTGGATTTTTTTTCGAACCGGCGAATAGTAAACAGGTCCGCGACAATGCAGTTGCTCGTTTCCGTCGGAATTACATTAATCCCGGGCGTCCCGTTAATGGGCGTCGAACGGTCGATGATATAATGCGACGGCGGAGCATTTTTAGTAGGCGCCCCGCAACGATTCGACGCATACATATTTATCAGTAACAGTTTATACGGCGCGGCGCGGTGGAGTTAGGGCGAGGAGGCGTAAGCGGTTCGAAAAGCTCGAAGCCCGAGCGAACCTCCGAGTATGCCCGGAGGGGCAATGAAAATTTAAATTGGAGCAGAAATTAAATCCGGCCTTTATCCGATATTGAGAAAATCCTTTGGAACCGGCAGACTGTCTGACGTCCCGCTATCCTGTACATCTTTGCCCATTGCTCATCCTCAGTGTCCGTGTTTCTATCTGCGTGAGCAAACTAGTCTGTATCGATCGACCGAGGGAGATCGGGAGACAGACGGAAAGCCGAGGGAACGAAAGCTGGGACTATACGGTGTCGCGTTTCTAGCGCCGTTCATAATTAATAATTAAGAAAGTAATTAGCATCGATTCTCCCAAAGGGATGACTTTGTTCTCCGTCGGTGATATTTCTAGAAACGAACAATTCATTATTCGTAATGTCATATCGATTGGACGTATACGAAACCGTGAATAATCTGTTGATTCGGAAATTTCGAAACGTGACATGTTATTCAACTTACTTTACCACTTCAAGAGGGTATGTCCTCGTTAAAGACAACCTTCTATTATGCAAATTTGGGGATTGTTACTTTT